TGACAGACAGTGGTAACCCATTGGACACCAAAAAGTGATATATATACTGATACTGGCACAGGAGTATGCCTTGTGGTCAGGATGCCATCCAGAGGGACCTGGAAAAGCTCTGGAATTGGGCCCATGGTAACCTCCTCAGGTCCAACAAAGCCAAGTGCAGCGCACTTCACCTGGGTTGGGGAAACCTCTGGTATTGTTTTAGACTGATGGATAAACAGATTGAGAGCAGCCCTGCTGAGAAGGATTTGAGGGTGCTGGTGAGTGAGAGGCTGGACACGACCCAGCAATGGTCACTCCAGAAAGCCAAATGTGTCCTGGGCTGCATCCAGAGCAGTGTGGGCACCAGGGTGAAGGAGGGGATTCTGCCCCTCTGCTCTGCTCTGCTCTGCTCTGGTGAGAGCCCACTCAGACTGCTGCACAGACTGGGACCCACTGTTTGAGTGGGTCCAAAGGAGAGCCATGAAGATTATCAGAGGGCTGGAAGCCCTCACCTGTGAGGAAAGGCTGAGAGAACTTGAGTTGTTTATCTTGGACAAGGGAAGGGTCTGGAGGAACCTTATTTTGGCCTTTCAGTCTTAAAGGGAGCCAAAGAAAGATGGGGATATAGACTTCTTAGCAGGACCTGCTGTGACAGGACAAGGCATAATTGTTTAAACTGAAGAAGCATTGATTTAGATTATCTGTAAGGAAGAAGTGCGGAGTATTTTTCACAATGAAGGTGGTAAAGCACTGGCACAGGTTGCACAGAAATGTGGTAAAATACAAGAATATTCCAGGTTGGGTGAGTTGGATCTCTGACCAACTTGCATCTAGTTGAAGATGTCCCTGCTCTTTGCAAGAGGTTTGGATTAAATCCTTTAAAAGTTCCTTCCAACACATTCTAGGATTCTAGGTAGCGAGAGCACAACATGCAGCATGAAAATATTCTGCACAGGAATTTGGGAAAAAAAAGCAACAAAGATAAATTGAAAGTTAAATATTTTTTAATTATTTTATTCTCTTATGACCATTTATTCTATATAATTTTTCTAGATTTTTTTATTACTGGCATTTAGAATCATGAAGATTTCATTACAAGCACTTGCAGGCTGCACTGATTCTGCTTATTTCTGTACATTCTTCATGGGTGGTCCCAACAGTTGTTCATTGATCAGTGTTGTCTGTGCATACCCCATACATTTCCTTTGCTATATTTCTGTCACAGAGCCTTTCCTTCCTGCACAAGTTAGTAAGTTTTGTGAGAAGCAGCTCTGGGCTTAGTTGTTTGCCTGAAGTTACTTGTATGATACTATCACACAGCGTAAAGGGCATCTGAGGCTAAGCTCAGACTGGGCAGCAAAGGGGGCTCCTGCTTCTCCAGGCTCTTGACCTGAGCACAGATTTGTGCCCAGGCAGTTCAACACTAACCAAGCAGGAATTCAAGTTCCACTGTGTGCCTGTGCTCAAAGAACAGCATAGACATCATCTGCTTTAGATAGCTGAGTGTACTACAATCTATATGGCTTGTATGCTAGGCTGCATCATTAAAAAGTTTATATTTATCTCTGTAATTTACTCTCATTATGTGTTATATGAAAGAATAAATGAAGAAGTATAACTATTCTGACAAATAGCTACTTTGCCAGTGAAGAATTTGCTATACCAAATGATCTAAACATTTATTTAATTTGACAGCAGTCATTGTCAGCTGTTTCAGAGATAAACCCCTAGAATGATGTGTACCGAGACTTTGCACTAGAAAGTCATTTTTTCATGGATTTAAGGATATTCTCTTTGTAGGTGAGTTTGGAGAATGGGCATAATGTTAGAGTCAATGTGATAGCTGAATGTAGCTGAGAACTGATGTCTTATAATTAGCAAGTTAGGATATAGATTTATTCCTTTTAAAATTTTAACAAAAGCCATTTCCATTTGTTCTATGGAAGTGATTTTCACAGGCTGAATATGAATATGTTGATATGTGCACTATTTACATGCAGTCTAATAAATGTTACCTTTGTATATTCTTCTGTTTCTATACTGTGAAAGATAAATAGCACTGTTTAATTAGCATTGTTTTTAGGATTAAGTAAATGCAGGGGTTTTACACTTTATTTTACTTTCTTCAGTACTAGTTCCTTTGCTGTCCAAACAACTACCAAGTAGGTAAATTAACACAAAATTTAATGGCAACTTTTAATTCTGTGTATAAGATCCTAAGAAACCAACTCAAGGCAAACCAGAACTGTTTAAAAGCTGATATGACAATGTAGTCATTCAATTTCTTGCTCCTAGTATGATGCCCACTCCTGGGAAACTGTTTCTAACTTCAATTTTTTAGAGAAAAACAGTGACATTTTAATCAGTGACCAATTATCCCAGGTGACTGGAAAAAGGGGAACATTGAACCCATCTTAAAAAGAGTAAAAAAGAGGATCCTGGGAACTACTGACTTGTCAGCCTCACCTCTGTGCCTGGGAAGATCATGGAAAAGATCCTCCTAGCAGCTCTGCTAAGGCACACAGAGAACAGGGAGGTGATTCAGGGAGACAGCCAGCACGGCTTCACTGAGGGCCTTCTGTGATGGAGTGAGTGCACTGGTGGACAAGAGAAGGGCTACAGATGTCATTTATCTGTACTTCTGTAAAGCCTTGGTCATAGGCCCCCCCAACATCCTGCCCTTTAAATAGGAGAAAGAGGAGTTGGATGGGTGGTAGATACTGTTAGATGGATAAGGAACTGGTTGGACAGCCACATCCAGAGGGCAGTGGTCAACAGCTTGGCATCCCAATGGATATCAATGACAACTGGTGTCCCTCAGAGGTCTGTATGGGGACAGTGCTATTTCATATCTTTATTTATTAAGACAAAAGGATGGAGTGCACCCTCAGCAAATTTGCAAAAGACAACAAGCTGACACACCTCTGGATGACACACCTGAAGGATGGGATCCATCCAGAGGGATTTGGACAAGCTTGAGAAGCAGCCCATGGGAATCTCATGAGGTTTAATAATATCTGCTGGTGCTGCACATGGGTTAGGGACAACCACTGGTGTCAATCCAGGCTGGGGGATGTACAGATTGAGACCAGCCCTGTTGAATGGGATTTGGGGGTGCTGGTGGATGAGAGGTTGGATATGACCCAGTAATGTGCGCTTGCAACCCAGAAAACCAAATATGTCCTGGGCTGCATCAAAAGCAACTTTGGGATCAGGTTGAGGGAGGGGATTCTGATCCTCTACTCCATTCTCCCACTTGGAGACCCCACCTGCAGTGCTTCAGCCAGGTCTGGGGTCCCCAAGACAGGAAGCATATTGACGTGTTGGGAGTGAGTCCAGAGGAGGGAAACAAAGTTGATTGGAGGGATTAAGCACCTCTCTTATGAGGAAGGGGTGAGGGAGCTGGAGGTTTTCAGCCTGGTAAAGAAGGGTTTGGGATGATCTTATTGAGGCCTTCCAGGATCTGAGGGGAACTCGCAATGAAGATGATGAGAGACTTTTTACAAGGGCCTGTAGTGAGAGGACAAAGGGGAATGGCTTCAAACTGAAAGAGAGTTGGTTTAGATTAGATATTAGGAAGAAATTTTTTATTGTGAGGGTGGCGAGGAACTGGAACATATTGGTGGAACAGAGAAGTTATGTATGCCCCATCCCAGAAAGTGTCCAAGGCCAGGCTGGATGGAGCTCTAAGCAACCTGGTCTAGTGGCAAGGGGGTTGGAACTAGATGACCTTTAGGGTCCCTTCCAGCCAAAGACATTCTATGTTTCTGTTATTCTATGGTTCTAACCACCAAAAATATAAAAGCAGACTGTTACTAAAACAGTGCAAAATCTTCTGATTTTCATGTTATTTTAGTAACTAACTATATGTGGTATTCTTTCAGTTATTATAGATACTGCAAAAATATAAAAGCAAACAGTTTCCAAAATAGAGCAAGGATTTCTGTCTCCAGTAAGGACTTTCCACCTGTTTCTATCATGAAATAAGTCTGAAAATAATAAATTAGCCAATGTGATATAAATTGGGACTGAATCAAATAAAATAATTCTGTAAGAAATATGTGTGTGCATCCAGAAGAAAGTAATTACACAAATACAATTGAACAATCTCCTGAACCAGTCAGAATCTTGCAGCTTATCTTTCATTTGTTTTGCTTTCTATACCAAGTATTGTATTTCAAAGTAGGAGATGACAGGTTGTTATCTCAAATTCTCTCAACTAAGCTTCTAAATTGGGATACACTGGTTTCTCCCTACAGGAATCCATTCGGTCTAATTGATCTATGACTCAGTGAACTTTACATCAACACTGAAAATACAGAATATTCATGACCTTGTCTATAAGAATAGCAAGAGGAGGTACAGAATGATGTTTACAAATCAATTGGACAACTAATAATGCAATGTTATTTTTCTCTTTCTGCTTGGTGCTTATTCCTGATGAGTTTTCTGTTAAACCCTAGTGACTTGCCAAGGAAACTTAAAAATAAAGTAACAAATATCAACCACTAAAATAAGGTGAACAAAAATGATGAGTAGTTTAAGGTGCATTTTATTCTTTTCTTAAATATTTGTGTCAAAGCAAAATGACTTAGTGTTTATGCAAAATTTAGCTTCAGCATATACTATGAAAATAGTTGTTCTTGTTTATTTCTCCTGAAACTGAAAACAGTATTTATGTTACAGGATGTGATTACTTCAACAAATATGTTCTCTATCTAAATGGAAAGATCCATCCTTTCTTTCACAAAACAGATGCATAAAAATTGATGCATAAAAAGATTTAATATTTTATGTTTTCTCATTTTGTTTTACTTTCCAGAGTCAGTGTAGGAAATACTGCACAGTTGTACATACCTAATTCAAGCTCTGGCCTTCCAGCTATATAAAGAAAAAATGAAGAGTTCAATCATATTGCCATAATATCTACATTAAAGAGTACATTTAACTCTCTAGCTTTCAGATCTGGATGATGTTCTTCAAGTATTTAATTCAAGATGTCTTATTGCAATTTTTATTTAGGAAAAGGAAGATGAAGAAATTAACCACAAGAGAAAAAAACCCTGGAAGGTAAGGGACTCTTTATCCCAAAATTAAGTGTTTTCACATATCAGAAATGAGTTCACAAAAGGGATATTAATATAGCACAAAATCATAGAATAGTCAGGGTTGGAAGGGACCCCCCAGTCATCCAGTCCAACCCCCCTGCCTAGGTGGGTCACCTTGAGCAGGTGATGCAGGAATGTGTCCTATAGTAGAGGTGGCCTTTGAGTCCTAGCACAATGCGTGTATTGTATTTGAATATCTGTATAGAGGCTTTGCCCTGGGAGGTCCCGGTTGTCCTTGATGGGCTGCAGCTGTGATGTCCTTAATTGGGCTGCAGCTGTGACCAATGAAGATAACTGGGATAAAAGGGGGCGGGTCAGCCAGTCAGGGAGAGCCTTGGAGGAGCCCTGAGCTGAGAAAGATCAAGATGCAGAAGAAGGAGTCTGTGCTGTGAAGGTCTGCAGCCATAAGAATGCACCAAGGAGGGATGAGACTTTAGAAATCTGATCACAGCAGTATGGGACTCTAGAAATAGAACAACAACAGTGTCCAGGTGGGTTTGAAATGTCTGCAGAGAGGGAGACTCCACCACCACCCAGGGCAGCCCATTCCAGTGCTCTGCTACCCTCAATGCAAATTTTTCCTTCATGTAGAGGTGAAACTTCTTGTGTTTTACTGTACAGCTATTGCTGTGTGTCCTGTCCCTGGACACAAAGGTAAGAGTCTGACACCAACCTCTTGGTACCCACCTCTGAGATATTTATGTGCATTAATGGTATCTCCTCTCAGTCTTCTCAAGACTAAGCAGGCCCAACAAGGCTGGCTTTTGTACTCAATTTTAATTGAATTATAACTTTGAATTGGCAGGAAATTCATATCTGGTAGGAATTATACAAAGGAAGAGGTAAGATCAAAATGTTAACTTTGAATTAATTTCCTCATTTAAGATCACCCTAGATTTAAAAGAAATGTGATTATTCAAAAGTCAAGCCATATATAAACTTCCTGATATTTCAGTTTTGGAGGAGAGCTTCACACAGATGCCTTTAATGACATGCTTTGTAATTTATGGTGTATTTTCAGTTTTCTAGAGTGATAATTTCTGATAACTTTGAACAAAGTTTTGGATAAGTTGGAGTTATCTTTAATCTGTGAAATTGGCTTAATTATGGTGTGCACAGAGGCTGCAGCAATGTTGTGCTGCTCCAGCATCGTGTGGAATTCTGATCTGTGAACAACTGTTGACTATTCATTGCATCCTTACAGGTGTGTGCTTAAGAAATGCTCACAAAGAGGCACTGAAGCAAAGACTGAGGAAGAATACACAATTCATGTCTTTGACACTCGTCTTTTGGGGAGCTCCCTGGCTTTCAGATTTTGCCTCTCACAATTCTGTGCATGAACCTCTAGTACCAAAGCTCTGAGGGGTTTGCAGGACCGTGCAGCCATGTGGGCATGACAGACCTGTGGGGGAATGACTGTCTCACAAGCACTTGCCAGGGAGCTGCAGAGAAGGGTGGGATCCCTGAAGGGGCCCAACACCATGACATAGGTCCACATGAGCTTCCTTAGTTGGTCACAGGCTGGGCATGTGTGGAAAGCCCCATTGTGGGGTACTTGCCTTGGGGTCTGTGCCCTCTGCAGGACTAATGCTCTGCACACAATGGAGAAAGCAAAGCCTGCTCTGGGCTCACGCTGCCTTGCCATGGGATGCACTGCACCAACTCAGTCAGCAACAACACTAATGGCAATGACCAGAGCAGCTGCCCTTGCTGCAGCCAGCCTCAGATGCAGGATGGAGAAGCCATCTGCTAATGCAAGTCTTGTTGGAAGCAAAGTTTGAATGCATTTCATAGGGGCATCTATCAGAGTATCTGTCCCATCATGACCTCTCGTGCTTCCTAGCAAATCTCTGTAAAAAGAGCTCCAGCCTACAGTAAGCCACCTTAGGAGACACAACAGGTGCTTTAAAGGACAGCTATTTGCCGCTAGTTTATGCTGACCCCACATACTGACATATTTTAAGTGCAGGGACAGCTCATACTGCTTTAGCTCCTCTGACTCTTCCTGCTAAAGCTCCTCTTTAGCTTCCCTGACTATGCTGGAGGAGAAAACCTGACCATACAGAGACAAACTTTCTGCAGTGTACTAAGTATTGATTTGTATCTGGGAGCATTAAAAAAAAAAAATTCTTCATTTACTGTGAAACCTGTATTTTGAGTCACAAACCTTTTGGTTTGCATTAGCAAGGCCACACTGAGCAAGAGTATTGCAAAGCTAGCCTGGTAGGCTGGAACCAATGGCAGAGAAGGAAAACCTATCCTCTTCTCACTAACAGGAGACATCCTGATATATAAATAATAAAATGGAAAAATAGCAACGGTGCTCCTCAAGTAAAAAATATTTCCATTCATAAATGGAGAAATTCACTTACTCTATGTAAACCATAAACATCAATACCATATGTGGCTTGTTCCAGGGGCCTGCACAGATTTTGCATGAAATGAGCCAGTTATTAAACATGCTGAAACTGAAATGAGTTAGTGTTAAATAATGCTCTAATTCCTCTTGGATTGTTTCAGTGACAAATTCCATCTTAAACAGTTAAGTGATTACAAGCTTTGAAATTAAATTTCAGGATGAATAATTAAACAGCAATCTCTGACGTCTATGAGAAATCACATTCTCTCCTCTAGAAACACTTAGAGTAATAGATACAGGAGTAGATTGGTAACACACTTCTGATTAAATTTAGTCTGCATAGAATGACTTCTCATATATTTCAGTCAACAGTACACTGAAGCAATTTGTATGTTTTATGTAATTTGGTTTCCCATTAGCAAACAATAAGATAAAAAGTCTCCAAAATACATTTGCATTTGAAAATTAGGTAAGTTTGGCTACTTCCCGGGGAAATAGCCATAAATATAATATTTAAAAACTGAAATGTATCTTTGGTGAGGTGTATACTTAGTCTGGAGCTTTTTACTTGATGAACGAGTTGAGAAACTTGATAGAAAGAAACGTTTGCATGTTTGCTTTATAGACAAAAGTTATTTCAGCTTAGGAGAACCTTTCTTTCCCTCATGACAAAACTCAAATCCTCTACACACAGAAGTTTAAATAAAAGCAAAGGGAAGGTTAATAAGTTACATTTTATGATGGCATTAATCCAAATGTAAAATTTTAGCCAAATCTCTACCTCCTAGTATCATAAATCAGAAAATCTAAAACCTTAAAAATGCCTGAGAAATTTTATCATTCCAACTACATTTCTTTGAGGTACTTTCTGTAGAAATCATTCCTTTTGCTCCACCAATTTTAGAATCCATGCAGAATATCAGGATGAATAATGTCAGGATGAAGGCCTCTTTCAAAAGCCTATAGACCACAAAACATCCCAGAGTGCCAGGTAGTAGCTGTTTAGGATGATGTCTGTGGCTGGAAATGTTCTGAATTGTTTCTTAGAGCTGAGTACTGTATGTTTGTAGCACTGGGCCAACTCAATTTGTGATGTCATTAAAATATATCCGGTAATTTCTCCTGTGCATTATTATGGATTTAGCATTAGTCAAGAAAAACGAGCGACTGTTTTTCATTGGCTTTGCATGAGAGCTGTATATGATAAATGAAATACAATAGAAAAAACAATCATGAGGGTATGAGTAGAGCCTGTTTCTCATAATCATATGTTTTTTGTCCTATGTGTTTTCATGAAACACAGTTGTCTTGCTGAACCCATGCTCTAGAGCAAAAAAAGCTTATTTTCAGCAAAGGAGCAAAATTGCTCTTGGCCACTTCTCTGGAAATTATATCCCTCTAATAACCTTTCCAATGGCCAGTGTACTGGCCATTTTTCTGTCTTCTGTCTTCATTTCTGCTTTTTTAATACATACACATGGCCATATGTTTCAGAATAATGTCAACCCAGCTAGAAATTAAAAGTGAACATTTTTGACTCAGAGATTACTGAGATCAGTGACTTTTATTGGTTTTGGATTACACCTAGATTAAAGGAGCAGAAGAATCTCATTATGTGATTCATATTTTCAGAAGCCTGCCTCCACACTTTTTTGAAAACAGTAATCAAGTTTTCAGAAGAGTCTAGTACCTTATCTAATGAACTGATTAATTAGCCTGACCAGAAATATCACAATGGGAACTTCTGGGTAGAGAAAGCATCTGAAATGGGCCTTTAAATTCTGATCATATGTCAGTATATTTCCATGCACATTTATTGCAATGATTAACCTATACCATCCCTTTTTTATGCTTCTGTAAAGCAGCATATTTGCTCTCACACCTGCTTGAAAATCAGCAAATATTGCTGCCCTCTTCAGCCACTGTAAAGAAAACAGGAGAGTACTTTGTGTTCTGGTATGATATTTTTGTGTTAGATTCATAATCTAATAATATTTTTGCAGTTTCAGTGGTTCAATATTGGACCATCCTCTATTTTTCAGTTTTTCAGTGATATGCAAATGATACTTTAAACTCTTCCAGTCATTATGCAGAGAACAGCATTTTTTCCATCTTATTCTGTTGTTTCACTTCTACAAAATATTGGCCTGCATATATGTATGGAATGACTATGAGTGCCAGGAACTAATTACTTGTTTCCTTTAATTTGAAATTACTACTAGATCTCACTTCTTGGCATGGAAACACAAGAACACAAGCAGATTTCAGAAATAAGGAGAATAATTTAGATCAGGTAGGACAGCAATCCAGCTATGAAATATTTTCAAAAGAAAGGAATTTTCAGTTTCATGGTGACAGTCTACTGCATCCGGAAGATGAGAATTTTGTGTAACATGTTAGATAAGACTTAAACACTGAAAAAATATTGACTCATTTCAAAATTATATAACATCTTAAAAGCATAAAGTAGAATGCCATTTATAAAAAAGGGCTGCAAAACTCCAGTAACTCCCTGTGACTCCATACTTATCCTCTCAAAGAGATCAGTGACAGGTATCACCATTATATCCAGGAAAACTTAAATGCGAACTGCAATACCTGCA